ACACGTTTCATTAAATAATATAGACAAGTGCTGTCTATTTATTTTATGTAAATTCTTTTCATAAAGTCTAAGTTTATTAACGTTATCATTGAACGAAGAAAGAAATTCACAATATTGATCCATATTTTTTAATACAATCTAAGCTTTCGGCTTATATAAGCCATTATCAAAGATGTCAATTACAACATATTAAGCAATATACGGACAAGACAGTAATGATAGTCTGTCATGATAAGCTTTCGGCTTATATAAGCCATTATCAAAGATGTCAATTACAACATATTAAGCAATATACGGACAAGACAGTAATGATAGTCTGTCATGATTTCTAAGCAACGATAAACACGTGCATATAAGACGCTAGAAGCGAAAATCGCACCGCATCTCATAACGTCACACATGACCACTCAAGAGTGAATTGGAGAAGTAGATATATCTATCTATCTCTCTCTCTCTCTCTCTATATATATATATATATATATATATATATATATATATATATATATATATACACGTCGTTGGTTATTTCTCAAATTTCAAGAAAGACGAATGCGTTGTTTTGGGTACGCATGTGACATCTGAGTACGAAGTTATATATGTAGATAGTGTCAGGTAGGACAAAGAACAGCAACTATATAAAATTTTGATTGAAAAATAAAATAAAAAAATTAGTCAGATGAAGATGTTTGTTTATCAATAAAATGAAGAATTAAAAAAATATTTGAAAATTTAAAATAGAAAATATTTCAAATAGAAAATTTAAAAGCTCTCCTTGTTCTATATCCGGAAAAAAGTGGATCATCAGCAAATTGGATGGAAATTGGCGCCAAATATATGCGACAGAAACTAATGATGAAAGCAGTTTGTAATTCCAATTTCCTTTTGGGTAAACATCTATGAAAAACAAGAATCAAAATGAACTTGAAAAAAGAGAACCTTAAATTTAGTAAAACTGCGTGAAAGATGCTCCGTGTAACCAAAAACATACACTGATTGAATTAGCACCCTATCTCTGAAACACGTTCTTTTCTTCATAGATTTCGCCTAGAGAAGTCTTTCAGCAGCAGTGTGATTGTACAGACTAGACAAGAAGCTTCGGAGCAATAAGAAGTTCACCTTTATAATGAATTTGTATTCTTAAACGATGCTTTGTGAACACCACAACTTATGTTTATTTCTTAAAAGTCCCTATTCAGAAAAAGCCAAGAAAACACCACGGTTTTTCGCCTGCCAACATAGATAGATAGATACATAGATAGATAGATATTGATTTAAGAACATAATGGCCAACTGAACCCATCCGTAGCCATTAATTTCTGTTGAGTTTGATGCAATGATTACTAATGAAGGTTACTTGGCAACTATTGCATCTTATCACGGTGCGTTCAGACAAGGACGTGAACAGCTCCCAAAGATATTGAACAAGAGGTCTCTCTCTCTCTCTCTCTCTCTCTATATATATATATATATATATATATATATTCAAACAAGTTTTGTTCGATTAAGACAAGATAAGATAAGGTATTGAGAAATTCTATATATATACATATATATCATCAGATTACAAACAACCTAAATACATTATTTACATTATTCGGACTATTGACCTCATCTTTGTCACCATATTTATCACAACGTTTCGGCTGTTGTACGCTCAAGGACACATGGCACAGGAGATTGGTTAGATCCAGGGAGAGGACCCAAAGAGTGTGTGTTCAATACCCGGTTAAGGCAGTGGGAAATTAACAGGAGATAACTGATAATTGACATCCATTAAACATGGCAAGTCGAACTAGAACAGTCTACCCCAGTGAGTGAAATAAAGGGTTCGGTTCGACATTCCAACCACCTGATGAAGGCCGGAGCGTACAATGGCCGAAACACTGTAATAAATATGGCGACAAAGATGAGTACAATAGTCCGAATAATGTAAATAATGAACCTAAATTCAACTATCAACATAAGAGAAATATAAAGAGATGATACCAATATACAATACAGAACTCACTGCAAAGTGTTATATAGGAATAAAGTGTGGTTGCCAACACTTGAATTGGAACATAGATAGCCGGTGAGCAAACACATTTTTTTAAGCATTACGCCCCGAGCAAGGCGTGAAGCCACTAGGATCCAGGGGGTTGAAGAAGATTTGGAGCGAGAGCAGATAGGAGTGATAGAAGAAAGGATGAGGAGAAGGATAGTGGGTAGATCAAGGCAACTGGAGGTGTCGATTGACATTACATTTGAATAGTTGGAGATTATAGCTCTCAGGAAAACAGTAATAGGGACGGGTGTTCCACAGGCGAGAGGTGCGAGGTATGAAGCTATTGGAGTAGAAGAGACGGCTACATTTAAAAGTTTCTACAGTGAAAGGGTGAGAGCGGGATGCCAGCCTCGTAGGGCGCTTGAATTCATGAAGTCTGGGAACCAGTGAAAGCATCTCATCGGAGCAATTACCATGAAAGTATTTGTAAAAAAGATAAAGAGAGGCGACGCCGCGTCTGTGAGGGAGCAAATGTAGACGAGATGCCAGATCATGGCCAATTATATCACATATCCGCCTCTGGTTCTTGTCAAGATCTCCGAGCTAAACAGAAGGTGCACCAGACCATATATGGCAGCAATATTCCATGCAAGGGCGAATGGTTGTTTTGTATATTTGAAGTATCGATTCAGGGGAGAAAAATTTCCTGGAGCGGCACAGAGAGCCAACTTTCCTCGCGGTGGACGAAGCAATTAACTCAATGTATTTGTTCGATCTCAGGTCACCACTCAACGTGAGACCGAGCATGCGATCCCATTATTGAATTAAGTATATCACGTGACCATAGAGGAAATTCATATATGGGAATTAGCTTGACGCCAAATCGATCTCTATTTCTACTCTATCCTCTATTAACATACGGACCGCTATTCTCTACTCTATTAGCTACACTATATTTCTATATGGATCACTATTCGGTGGTTACTATTCGAGCGAGTATTATCGAGCAAGTACTATTAGTGCGAGTATCATTCGAAGGCGTCTGACACCAGTATTGTTCAACGGCGTTACTATAGTTGTATCGGCGATTACAAAGTCGCTACTAAAACGTTGACATCACAAAAGTGGCAACGAGGTTTTGTTGACATGACAAAGGTGGCGACGAAGATGAGATGCGACTTTTTTAATGTCAACGTTGTGGTATCAACTTTGTAATCGCCGATAGAACTATAGTACGCCGTTGACATCACAAAACAAATAAAAGCTCAACATTCTATTATTAAACACAAACAACAACTGACACTAAATAAAGTATCTTTCATCACAAATGACGGTATATTGAAATGTGTATAAAATATTTACAAAATAATAATAATACGAATAAATATTTAATATATACTTTCCTGGCGGGGTATAGCTCTGTGTACCCGTTTCATCCGAAGGAACATCTTAAAATGTGTTTAAGATATTTAATATTCAAATAATAATAATAATATATAAAATATAATTTAAAAAATGCAAACAAAAAAGTGCCTCCTTATTGATATGACAGTCCCTGCAGACTGCAATATATCTTTGAAGATCTTCAAAAAGCTATCAAAACACAAGCACCTTAAAATCGAAATCTCAAAAATGTGGCACATGGGAACATCCACAATCCCTATTGTAGTTGGAGTTCTCGGATTGATTGGAAAAGATTCCAGTTGAAGAGATTCCCGGAAAATTGTTCTGAAGAGTACAGCTCACACCTTACGAAGGGCTTAATCTATGTAAAATATGTGTGATTTTTTTTTCAAAATTGCTCAGTGGAAAGTGTCATGATTCCATTTCTCACCTTAGATCTCTGATCGGGACCCGGAAAGAAATCAGTATACACCAGAAAACATAGAAAATAATAATAATAATAATAATAATAATAATGTATGCTTTCCTGGGGCGGTCTAGCTCTGTGTAACCGTTTCACCCGAAGAAACATCTTAAAACATGTTTAAGATGTTTAATATTCGAATAATAATAATAATAATAATAATAACAAAAAAGTGCCTCCTTATTGATATGGCAGTCCCTGCTGACTTCAATGTATCTTTGAAGATATTCAAAAAGCTGTCAAAATACAACGACCTTGAAATAGAAATCTCAAAAATGTGACATATGGGAACATCAACAATCACTGTTGTAGTTGGAACTCTAGGACTGGTTGGAAAAGATTCCAGTAGACTAATTGAAGGGATTCCTGGAAGTCCATGCCTCAAAGAGATACAAAAAAAATTGTTCTGGCAAGTACAGCCCACACTTTATCTATATATATATATATATATATATATATATATATATATATATATATTTTGTCAGTGGAAAGAGTCATGATGCCATTTCTAACCTTAGGTCCCTGGGCGGGACCCGGAAAGAAATGTGTAAACGCCAGAAATCAAAGAAAATAATAATAATAAGTATAAATATTTAATGGATTCTTTTCTGGTCTAGAAACACAAGATGTCACTTTGGATTAATTTACTTTTAAAATGTCAGGTTGTTTCCCAATAATCTCTTGTGCAACACATTCGCCAAACACCCAGTTCTTCATAATGACTGAGACGGATATATCTACTTAAACAAAAGCAAGGCAAAATATGAATTCCGGGCAAATTCAACCTCAATTTTGATCCAGGTGTGCAACAACGTATTCAAAAATTGAAAAAATTAAATCAATAATTTTAAAACAGAAAAATCCTGACGGTTGAGTTAACCGTAACTTGTCTAGGTGGGGGGGTCTGTTTTCTATTTCCATTAAACCCGCTGCTTTGCGGACAAGACTCCTGCGTGGATGCTTCCCTGCACACTACAATGTTAACCTCTTTAATCCAAGAGTCAATCGTTACCTGTCCTCCATTTCCTCATAATCCTGACTTACTTCGTACTCTTATCATGCATATCATCACCTCATTAAGAAAATTTCTACCTTGAATCTTTTTTGAGTCTTGTACCAGGTGAACGATAGGAAAAATATTCTTGTTGTCTAAATATACAACATAGATAGATAGATAGATAGATAGAAAGATAGATAGATAGATAGAATCAAATTAGGATAAAGATAGGGTTGTAACCTAGGTAAACCCCTGCTAGTGGTGGACTTCTTAGACAGCATATTACCTTCTACTTACAACAGTGTCCAACGTATTTATGGGGATTGGGACATACTCATTAGTGTTCATAGGTACGGTAGATAGATAGATAGATAGATAGATAGATAGATAGATAGATAGATAGATAGATAGATAGATAGATAAGAGTTGTAACCTAGAGAGAGTTACTAGATTGACGAATAACCAAAACGAAGGTTGGAAATGAAATGATAATCTTTATAACATCAACAAAATACGATACTCGCCAGCGGCGTCAAGTAGGTAAACGACTTCAAGTGGTGGACTACGTAGACAGCATATTACCCCCTAATTACAATTGTGCCCAACGTATGAGTATTGGGACATACCCATCCGTGTTCATAGGTACGGTATATAATAGATAGATAGATAGATATTTCGTCTGACGGTCACTCTACGTGAAATTCGGAGTAACGATTTGGATGTGGTTTCTCTGTGCTGTTTCTTTGAATTAGTGTTACTGATCAGCTTGTGTTGGATTATCTGCTCGCGGCATTGAGCACTTAGGTTGGAGTCTGTCTTTTCTTTTCTTTTTATGTTTCCTTTTCCATCCTTTTCCTTTTCTTTTGCCATTTCAAGATTTTTCACTTGGCAGACTGGGTGTTAGTAGGGTTGTATTAGGAAACGTTACCAAATGTTTGCTTTTTCTCGAAAGATAGGAATAATGATAGATAGATAGATAGATAGATGCATCGTAAACACTACAACTGATGTTTATTTCTTAAAAGTGCCTATTCAGAAAAAGCCAAGAAAACACCACAGTTTTTCGCCTGCCAACACTCACACACACACACATAGATAGATAGATAGATAGATAGATAGATAGATAGATAGATAGATAATGAACAGAACAAGATAGATAGATAGATGATGAACAGAACAAGATAGATAGATAGATAGATAGATAGATAGATAGATAGATAGATAGATAATGAACAGAACAAGATAGATAGATAGATAGATAGATAGATGATGAACAGAACAAGATAGATAGATAGATAGATAGATAGATAGATAGATAGATAGATAGATAGATAGATTTAAGAACATAATGGCCAACTGAACCCATCCATAGCCATTAATTTCTGTTGAGTTTGATGCCATGATTACTAATGAAGGTCACTTGGCAACTATTGCATCTTACCTCGGTGCGTTGAGACAAGGGCGTGAACAGCTCCCAAAGATATTGAACAAGAGGTTCAAGCAGCGGAAAAAATGCTGACTCATCGACTGGTGTGCGACAGCTAGCCCGCAGGAGGAGGCAATCGACACTGTTTCTGGCGGCCATGGTCGATAGGCGTAATTAGCGAAGGGGAGATAAGAGGAATTTACAAATCGAACGAGTTATAGGCGTCCATACTAAAAATTTCAAGATAGAATCAAGGAAAATGTGTCGAATATCCTGATAAAGAATGGAAGGGTGCAAGTGGTTAGGTGGGCATTTTTTTTTCCGGCGTCGTCGCTGAATATTTCTGGTAATCGTTAAATAAACAGTTTCCACACAGGAACCATCACAGTATTCATCGTCCGAACAGTTAGTGATACTCTCGATTGAAATTTATATTGGCTTGCGGCCATATCTCGTTGAAACAGCGGTTCCCGTACGATCACCAAAATTACGAAGCGTCGAGACTGGCCAGTACATAGCTGAGTGACAGCTTCGGAATACCAGGTGCTGTAAGCGCAGATGTGCGTTTAGGGTAATGCATAACGGCTCGGAATTGTTAATCGGAGAGCCGAGTTCCAATTCCAGTTGGATTCGATATATTCACTTACGCGCAATTACCTTGGGAAAGGTATGAATCCACCTCTTCTCCCCCCCAGCTATGCGTTAATTAGTAAGAATTGTATCACTAGGTATTTAATCTGTCTCCCCACTAAGACGTGACAAGGTCTTTCTTAAGGTGGGGACTCGAGCGCGTGCACCTGGCCAGAGCCAAAAATTACCCACAGCTCCCGCAACTGTCGGTTGCGCTGGCCCCGATGCGAGCACCGATCCCTCTACCTGGTGCAATGAGAGGACGCGGTCTCGCGCAGCTGTTCCCCAGGGCTGGGCACCTCTTCAGTATAATTTTCCTCAGTTGCGACTCTGTCCTTTGATGGAGTCGCCCCTGAGCGCACTCTGTCGAAAGACAGAGACGCAACTGAGAGATGATAAATAGATGTGTTACAAACCTCTCAAGGGAGTAATTTACACAGTAAATCACTAAATCTTTATTATCTCCAGAAAAAAATATATTCAAAAATATTTCCTGGCTTTAAATAAACTGCAGTGTTGATAAGCTGGAAAAAAGAAATCAATTATGAAATTTGTAAAACATTTATGAAAATGGACAATGCCCGACACTTATTTTTTAAAGACATTTTATGTTTATACGTTCTTTTTATAGACAAATATTTACGTAAATGCTCTGTTTATAATAAACATTGAGCAGATATAAATGTATGAGAGAAAATCATGGAAAATTGTGTTTAAATACACTAAAATCGACCTTGCTAACAGATCGCTCCTCTGTGGCCCAATCGGTAAAGGCACGTCAGGCTAATTGACGGTTCCTATATGGAATCGTTATATAGCCTGTCGGAGGACGCATATTTTCTATGAAAATTTCTCGGACATTCAGGCCTGTAAATGTTTTAATACTGTTTATTCTAAACAGAGCATTTACTTAAATATTTGTATCTATAAAAAAAAAGAATGTATAAACATAAAAATGTCTTACAATAATTGTCGGACTTAGCCCCTTTCATAATATGTGATCTCATTTGTTTGCATTTGGATACGCATTGAGCAGATATGAAAGTACGTGAGAGAATCATGGAAGATTGTAGTTTAAAAACAGTAAAATCGACCGTGCTAACCGAACGCTCCCCTGTGGCTAAATCGGTAAAGCACGTCAGACTATCTGACGGTTCCGTATAGGATACAGGTTCGATTCCTGTCGGAGGACGCATGTTTTCTATGAAAATTTATCGGCCATTCAGGCCTGTTAATACTGTTTATTATAAACAGAGCATTTACTTAAATATGTGTATCTATAAAAAGAACGTATAAACATAAAAAATGTCAAAAAAATAAAACATTTATCTTAAATTTTTTAGAAATTTATACTTATGTCTATTATCACTGTTCTTTCTTGTACTGGTGGTAGTTTCCTTTCTAGCAATTTTCTTTAAGGTAGTGCGGAAAGTCAGTATATTCATTATATCATTCTTTGCCCCTTTCAGTTAAATGTGGTATCCATTTTATTTGTCGCTACTGTAAAATGATTCCAATGATTTGATTTAGCTATTTGGTAAAGTTCTTTCTGATTCTGTAGCTTCATTTTAAAATTTTAGAAAGACATGGAAGACGAAGGTAGGTTGAACAAGTATATTGAAATAACAGATATATACAAAGCAAGAGTGTTAGTAATAATCAGATAGAAGTGTACGTCCGAATGGTAGGTTAACTCTGCATTTCTGCATCCCAACCGACTCCTCAAATTAGTATTTGTGAAAGAAGGAAGAGCTCATTCTACTATAGGAGGGTTTACTACAACATATATAAAACGAAATAAGCTAATGCTAAGTGAAATATAACGGAAATGATTTTAAGGAAAAAGAAATAAATTATGTAATGTTAATGAAAATCCATTAAATTAAGTATGCAGCGTTTGCAAAACAAATAATGTAACGAGGATTTTTTTAATCGATGTTGCACGATGATTCTTTCTCTTCTAATGTCATTCTCATTTTTTTCCGCATTTCGTTTTGCTTTTGTTCTTGAATTTTTTAAACGAAAGATACTTTTTAACTCTACGTGTGTTATTGCAATCGTCATAGCTGAATGCTGGCTTTCTTTCCATAAAACTGACAACCTTTTCAATGGCTTTTTCAATTTCAGTCTAGGTTAATCACAATCATTCATTTCATCTCTATCTTATTGCAGATGTGTCTTGTTGTCATCCTTTCCTCTTATTCCCATCATCTTTTGCACCAATACAAGCCATGAGGGTGAAATAAGTATAAGCAATTATCTAAGGTAAATTTCCTGAAAAACAGAAAATTCAAATCAGTTACATATCACCCAAATAATTCAAATATACACATCAAAATCATGTACGGATATTTGGGATTCCGGATATGAGGTATTCCGGATATTAGGTATTCCGGATATGAGGGATTTCGGATATGAGGCACTCCGGATATGAGGGATTCCGGATTATGAGGGATTCCAGATATGATGGATTCTACTCTATTAATAAGTGAGACTGTACAAAACTGAAATGTGTCATACAAAGTTGAATATTGGCTTCATATATTATTTGAGAGGTTATTTAATGAGGATTAATATTTTATCATGAATTCGGTATAAAAATATACCTCTTCTAAGTTATTCATAAAATAGTTGGCTCTATTTCAAGTATCAGTCAATATTTTTTATAGTTTTATATTTGCTAAGTATAAAATTAAAATATAGAACATTTTTCTTAAAATTTGTCAACTCTATTATGTATATCAACATTTTCTTTTAATATGAATGAAGACAGATAAATACTGTAAGGATTTTTTTCTAACAGCTCACCAGATATAAGCAGAGTGTTGTCAAGCATGATACTACTAAGGGAGTCGTTTGCCCATTGGAAACAGAATTTTTGCAGTAGGTTGGAGACGAGACGCGCCGTGCACCTCGGCCGGCCGAAATCCGAGCGGACGTTGAAGAAAAGCTTATGTTGTTACACGAAACGCGTTCACCGCTTAAGGCGGACCGGGAGAGCAAGCGAGCTGCTTGCCTGCCGCGCGAGGGAGTGGGGATGCCTGCGGGCGAGCTGGCTGCCGCGCGCAGTCCGGTTACGGCGGGCACGCGAGAAGCGGCAGCCGCCGAACCTGACCAGACGCCGGTCTTCGCGCTCCGGGCACCTCGGCCGGGCTGCCGAAAACCCGTCGACGATTGTCTGCCGAATTCCGAGTGGTCGTTGAAGAAAAGCAAATGTTGTTACACGAAGCGCGTTCACCGCTTAAGGCGGGCCGGGAGAGCAAAAAGGGAGCTGCCTGCCTGCCGCGCGTGCGAGGCGGCAGGCCTGCGGGCGAGCTGGCTGCCGCGCGCGGCGGTCCGGTTACCCCGGGTGCGCGAGAAGCGGCAGCCGAAGAACCTGGCCGGCCGCCTGTCTTCGCCGTCGCCGGACGCGCTCCGTGCGCCTCGGCCGGGCTGCCGAAAACCCGTCGACGATTGTCTGCCGAATTCTAAGCGAACACTGAAGAAAATCAAAGGCAAAGCGAGCACCACGGATCAATTGCAATAGCCAATAAAATGTTTTCAGTCTGAAAAACTGTAAGAGCTGCTGTATCAAGGGATAAAAAAGGAGAAATTGTCTGATATACCATCTCACAATGTCATCCGAACCAAATGTTATTATCCAGTTGACAAAACTGCACTTAAACAAATTATTCTAACACCAATTATACCATAGAATTTTAATCACAGTCCTTCACTATATTTCTTTTTATGTGCCGTGTCCTTCCAGGACGTAGGCGATCATGGCTCTCCACTTCCCCCTATCCCTTGCAGCTTTCAACAAATTCCGTCCTTCTGCCTCCTCCCCCAGACCACGTTCTGTCATCCACTTGCTGAAACCTGCTAGGTATGTCATACGTTGCTTTCCCTTGTCTCTCTGTCACTCTCTTCAACTTGTGAGTATCAGATTCTCCAGGACCCCCTTTCTCATTACGTGTCCCAGAAACTTCAGCTGCCTCTTGCTGATGTTAAGTATAAGCCTCCTCCATGTTCGCATACTCTCTAAGACCTCATCGTTGATCACACAATCGTTCCATGATATCCTCAGCATCCTTCTGTAGAACCACATCTCGATCACGTCGAGTTTCCTCTTCATCTATTTTTTTCTTACAATTTTTCCTAGAATTTAATTTCATGATTTTATTGCTTTTCACTCTTTAGCAGGACTAATCATCTTGACAACAGGAACAATAAAAATGAAATTATTCTACAGTGGTAACCTATATCCCCGAATGTTCCTAAATTAACACCCATAAGTCTGATTCCCTGCAAAAAGTCATTTGTTAAAGAAAACTGCTAGAAAGAAGAGGTTCATTTTATAATAACATGTATTGTTGTTCATACATGAAAACTAAAAAAATTATGTTAAGTTGTTAAGCAGGATACTATTGAGGAAGTCATTTACTCACAAGAAACATAATCTTTGCAGTATTTTGGAGACAACAACGATCATGATCTTGCAACAATTGATGAAAAGAATACGCACCAGTGGACATGGATCAATTGCAATA